AAGGGTGCTGTGCGTTAGCTCTATACAGTGCTCTGCTAGGTTACAAATGGTGCTGTGCAGTGCATTAGCTCTATACAGAGCTCCGCTGGGTTACAAATGGTGCTGAGCACTAGCTCTATACAGAGCTCCGCTAGGTTAGCAAAGGGTGCTGTACACTAACTCTATACAGAGCTCTGCTAGGTTAGCAAATAGTGCTGTGCATTAGCACTATAGAGAGCTCCACTAGGTTAAAAAGGGTGCTGTGCATTAGCTGTATACAGAGCTCCACTAGATTAGCAAAGAGAGCTGTGGAGTGCACTAGCTCTATACAGAGCTCCGCTAGATTAGCAAAGGGAGCTGTGCAATGCACGAGCTCTATACGGAGCTCCACTAGGTTAGCAAAGGGTGTGGTGCACTAGCTCTAAACAGAGATCTGCTAGGTTAGCAAAGGGTGTTGTGCAGTACATTAGCTCTATAGAGATCTCAACTAGGTTAGCAAAGGGTGCTGTGCAGAGCATTAGCTCTATACAGAGCTCCACTAGGTTAGCAAAAGGTGCTGTGGTGTGCATTAGGTGAATACAGAGCTCCACTAGGTTAGCAAACGAAGATGTGCAGTCCATTAGCTCTATACAGAGCTCTGCTAGGTTAGCAAAGAGACCTGTGCAATGCACTAGCTCTATACAGAGCTCTGCTAAGTTAGCAAAGGGGACTGTGCAATGCACTAGCTCTATATAGAGCTCCACTAGGTTAGCAAAGAGTGCTGTGTTATGTATTAGCCAAATACAGATCTCCACTAGATTAGCAAAGGGAACTGTGCTGTACGATAGCTCTATACAGAGCTCTGCTAGGTTAGCAAAGGGTGACATGCTGTGCACTAGCTTTATACAGAGCTCAACTAGGTTAGCGAAGGGTGCTGTGCAGTGCTATAGCTTTATGTAGAGCTCCACTAGGTTAGAAAAGGGTGCTGTGGTATGTATTAGCCAAATACAGATCTCCACTAGATTAGCAAAGGGAACTGTGCTGTACAATAGCTCTATACAGAGCTCTGCTAGGTTAGCAAAGGGTGATATGCTGTGCACTAGCTTTATACAGAGCTCCACTAGGTTAGCAAAGGGTTCAATGCTGTGCACTAGCTCTTTACAGAGATTCGCTATGTTACAAAGGGTGCTGTTTGGTGAACTAACAGAGCTCTGCTTGGTTACAACGAGTGCTGTGGTGTGCACAAGCTCTATACAGAGCTCCACTATGTTACAAAGGGGTGCTGTTTAGTGTGCTAACAGAGCTCTGCTAGGTTACAAAGGTTGATGTGCATTAGCTCTTTACAGAACTCAGCTAGGTGTAAAAGTGGGTGCTGCCTTCTCTGTCAGTGGCAAATGATGCCCAGCTAGGCTAGCAGAGGGCAGTAAATGCCATGTTTGCTTATAGTTCTATTTGTTCAGCAATAGGTAATCTGTATAGAGGATTAAACTGGGCCAGCTTCTTTAGAGATCTTGTGTTGAACAAAGAGAAATGTTTTGTATTCTACTAGCTATACCATGAGCTCAGCTACACTGGATCTGGGCCTGTATACTGTGGTAACTCGATGCTGTTTTTATCTAGAATTGGAATGGTGCAAGTTCTCTGAAACTTATGTAGATAGCACTGTTGGTTGGGAGTGGGGCTATATTTGATGCTTGCTCAGGATATGAATGGATGCTATATTGTGTGACTGGCTGTACAAAGAGGTATACTGGATCAGGAATGGGTTATATATGCTGTTCCAGGTTTGTATAGCATTTCTGGAAAGGATGCTGCTTAATACTGTATTTGCTGAATAGTTCATAGTTCATTTTGGTTAGAAGTAGGTGATTTATACTGTGCCAGAAGCATATTAATTTGTATAGGGTCAGAATGGAATCTGAATAGCTCGCCAGCTCTATGCACAGTTGAGAGTGGTCATAGATGAGTTCTGTATATTAGAGAATGGGTGTCTTATTCTGTGCTAGCTTTATACATTACTCAACTAGATCAGGAATAGATGCTGTAATGTGTGCTATGCCTACATCCAGTTATTTAAATAAGGAATAGATGTAGTTTGGGCTAATTATACAAAGAGTACTGTTTGGTCATGAGTGGGTTATATGCTTCTGGTTGCATATTGTGATCAGCTAGATGGGAAATATGTTTGAATTTTGTACTAGCTCTACACTGAGCTCAGCTAGGCCAGAAATGGGTGATGTTTTCTATGCTGATCTAAAGGCTGTTGCATTCTATTTTAGGTTTTAAAGAATTCAATTAGGCCAAGGATTGGTTTCATGATATGCTAACTTTATTTTGTGCTCAGCTAGAACAGAGATCGGTTTTTCTACTGGTCAAGTCCAGCACCAAAATTCACTAGATCGGTAATATGTATTGTAATCAGTGCCAGGTGACTGCGAAGCTCAGTTAGGTGCTCAATGGCTTCTCAGTATCATTGCACCTGCATAGAGAGTTCATCTAGAACAATTATAAAGCCCTAAACTATGTTTAAGTAAGTCAACAATAAATGAAACATACTGTACTGGCTGCATACATATGTCAGCTACATGGGGTATAATGTGCTAGGTCTATAAAGATCTCAGAGCTAGGTTGGGTGTATTCTGTGATAACTACCTACACTTATCGAGATGTATTATGGTATACTTCGTTTACACAGATATCAAAATGAGCCTATTTATGCTGGTTGTGCAATCTCTGTTAAGAGCTCAGACAGGTTGAGAATAGATCAAGTATAAAATTGTGAGCCACACGCTACTAGCCAAGCCTTAAAAGTTACTTGCCACTGCATTCCATAGCATATGTACCAGGGATGAACTTTAGCCTAATGGTCTCTTAATACATCCCTTTTTCTTCATAAGTATGTTAGCCAAGACAATTAAAGAATTTGTATCCTATACTGGCATTTTAGTTAAGTCTGTAAAAGTTATAAAATACTAAAGTAACACTATGTCATCTAGACTACACCCAGCTAAGAGTAATGAGAAGTTCATATTTTAGTTTTATCTGTACAATAGAGAAAAACTAACTGGGTTATATGCAACCTATTTGTATAGCTCAATAGAGCATTGTCCTGTTATTGTGGTATCAGTTACGGTTTAGTAGCTCATTAGTGTTTTGCACAGTGTTTTGTTTTTTTTATAAATTATTTTTACAATTCTAGGTAATAAGTTATTTTCACCCTCAGTGCAGTAGAGTTGGAAATGTGCTCAGCATATTAAACTACTGTATCTCAATTTGCAGCTAATTTGGGCCAGACCCGGGAGCTGCTTAGCTCTGAAGAGCCCACCAAAGGTTGTAGCATCAGCAATGGGTACAATATACCTGTCAATGCTTGTCTACTAGTCATACAAGCATGTTCCATTTACTGAGATGTCTATTTTAGAGCTACATTTAATTAGTACTTGGTACAAAGGAATCTTTGTACAATAAACTAATATATGTTGTCCTGCACTAATCTGTCCATCATAGTAAATGGCTCTAACAAAATTTTCAAATGTTTTGATCATGAGTATCATACTATGTTAAATGTAATATTGTCCATATTCTACATACTGAGATATTTCAGATTCCTTCAAATCCTGCTTAATGTGTCTTAATATAAATTCTCTTCTGTATTGATTGGTAAAATATGTGAGTAATTAGGACTTTATTACACTAGAATACATTGTATGATTGTATTCCGGATCATGATAATAAGGTATGCTTTACATACTTAAATAGATGAAAAAAGACAGGTGGTCCATCAAGTTCATCCTTTATCAAATCTGTTTTTGCTGTTGATCCAAAAGAAGGCAAAAAAAAAGAATCCAGTTTGAAGTGCTTGCATTTAACTGAGCAACTAACCTTGGAAATACTGAGTAGTGTATACAGCAATTTAAAGGGACAGACATTGCACAGTTATTTACTAAAGTTAGAATTCAAAAGGATGTTCAACAGTAAGGCCAAAGTAGCCAAACTGAAAGAAATTTCCATTTTGACTATTTTGATCTTAAATTTGAAATTCTCTTTGAATTCTCAGTTTAGTGAATAACCCTGTTAGAGTATTCTGATTTGTATTTTGTTGCATACTAGTATTAGAGCTGTATATTTCTAATTGTGTGATTAAACACTAAACAATTATCATGTAAATTGTATTTGTATGCATGTGTAGTATTTCATTCAAAAGCTTTAGAAATTAGTTGAATTGCTTTTAGTCCATTAAACTAAGAAAGATGACATGTGAGGTATATAAATCATACGTGTTTTAGTCCTTGGAAGAAAATGTGGTAATCTACAGTTGGCATGGGTATTTCAGAATCTAAACTAATTGTCTGAATGACTATAAAAGCTGTAAAAAAAAAAAAAACTACAGCAAGATGGCGGATCCATGTAGAGTGTGATTTATGTGAGTAATTGAGTAATTCAAATACTCAATTACTCAATTATTAGCATTGTTTAGTTTTTTTTTGTTTTTTTGTTTTTTTAAAGCTGGTGCAGGTTTACTTTGCAGGTCTGGTATTTAAAAGAACAGTCTACATTTTATAATAGTCAGTGTGGTTACTAACAGGCTTCCACCTGGTGCAGTGTCATCTGAAAAAAAAACAATTCTACACTTGTACCCATTTTAGGTACACTGAAATATGCAAAAATCATATTATTGTTCTAATGCTAACTTCAACAATAAATTTTACCCCTTAATCCAATATTTCAACTAATTTGCAACCCTAATTGAAACAGTAAAACTAACTCTAACACTTAATTAACACAACTTAACAACTTTCCTTCTATCTATCACCCAGCTCTAGCACCTAACCACATGTATTAACTCCCTTCCCCTTTTCTTTTGCTTATGTTCTCAGCTTCAGAACAAGCCCCGTCCCTATTTCCACTCATTTCTTGCGGCGAGTCTAAGGATCCTGTCATCATTGGTTGTTTGGCCAAAGATTTCTTCCCTGCATCTGTTAGCTTCAACTGGAAAGATGAATCCAATAGCAGCATTAATTCTGGCTTCAAGAACTTTAAGCCGGTGTCAAGGACAGTGTCCGGAGATCAAAGCTATGCATCTGCAAGTTCCCAATTGCAAGTGACAAGTGACAGCTGGAATCAAAATAAACCATTCTACTGCGAGGCCACACATAAAAGCAATATCAAGAGCGTCAAACTTCAAAAAAGAGGTAGGATTTGATAATTTCATATCTTAATTATACAATAAGAACCAAACGTTTGTACACAGGCACATGTTTAAATAAACCACTGTTGGATTTTAGATGCATTTTTTTGTGTTCACAGACATGTCCAAGATCTGTTGCATTGTTCGATTTTGAATGGAAATAATATTCCAAAAAATTTAAAAAATATTCCCCACAGGATAAATTAAATTGTTCCATGTTTTTATAATCTGATCCCGAAGGGAATTATACCAGTAGGGACTTCAATTAATTTTGAACATCCCCATCTCATTTGAAGAGTGACAGTATCATGTTATGGTATTGTCAAAGCAAAGCTAATGTGTCTCTTGTTATATGTGCCTAGACCACATTGGTCCTAGAATTATTCACCCATGAACATGGAACAGAATAAATATTTCAGTTTTAGTATTTTCTTTTAAATTAATTTGTTCCTTGTTCTTCTTCTCCTAAAGAAACAATGTAAATTATTAAAGCTTACAATTTTAGTGTAAAAGAAAGAACATTTTAAGATAGATGAGATAGAGAATACTTTCATATCTTTTTAACATTTTATTTCTTTCTCATACAGAGACAGTCGTCAAAGCTCCAATTGTGTCCATTAACCCGCCACTTCAAGAGAGCACAACTGTAAATGGAGATGTCATTATTGTGTGTGTTCTTAATGGATTCAGTCCAAATGTTATTGAAGTGAGATGGCTTAAAAATCATAACAACTCAATTGAAAGTACAATTGGAGAGCCAGTAGCAGATAAAAATGGCAGCTTTAGAGCAACTACCTTTATATCTGTTCCTCAAAGTGAATGGGACAGGAACTCTATATTCTCCTGTGAAGTGAAGCACCCAGCATCCAATTTTTATGAAATGAAGAATACCAGTAAATCTGAAGTGTGCAGTAAGTTTTCTTGCTAATTTATAAGTGAATGCAATTAAGTGTTAAATGAATAATGCTTCATAATTAAAAACACATTTTATTGAGAAACACAAATAGTAAGGTACTTATCTGTGACACCAAGATATTATAGTGTATAGGTTAAATATTGGTAACATTTGCTACCATTTTTTCATGTGGTTTTACAAACCTACCATTATATAGTCTATATTTACCTTAGTTGTATCCCTTACTCATACATACTCATACCTACTCATACAGGTTAGCTTTGTACCAATGCTGCATCTTGCAGTATAAAAAAAATCACCTTGGATGCTGTTTTATTTTCACCGTCAGCCATTCTCAAAATGTATCTTCTCAATTCTCTCAACAGTAACTCAATCTTCTGCAATTCAAGTGGTTGCGATTCCACCATCATTTGAGAGTATCTTCAATGATAAAAAGGTCAAACTCACCTGCAGAGTGTCTAACATGCCTTCTCCTGATGGCCTAGTTAGTATCAAATGGTTTCAGAAGGGGAATCCAGATAAGCCCCTGGACACAAAACAAGAAGATGGAGATTATGCAGGGGGATACATAGTCAATGGTGTTGCTGAGGTCTGTGCTGATGAATGGAATACAGAGAAGTTTGAGTGCAAAGTGAAGCATAATGAGCTGGCTGAACTCAAGGTGGTCCCTCTTTATAAGACAAATGGTAAGAGAATAAATGTATACCTATTCAGTTTGTTTGTTTTGTATGGTTTTTTAAAAGTCCTTCTCATCTGCTGTTATCCATTATCCATTGCATGATTAATGTTACAGTGCTTCAGATATTTCCTAATACATTGTCATCAATGAAATACGTTGACATAAAAAATAATTAAAGAAATTTGTGTACGTATGTGTGTATATATATATATATATATATATATATATATATATATATAAACCTATATCATTTAGGTGTTTAATAATATGGTAAGAATCCATTAATATGTGTCACCTAGTCAAATGACGCTTAGCAAAACATTATTAGACAAAAGTCAATTTTATATTGTATGTAACACACTCCATTCCTTATCAATCATGTATTTGCAACAACAGACATATAATTAAACTTTTAATATTATGTTTGTAGGAGGTGATTTGATGACTCCTGAGGTTTTTGTTTATCCTCCACAACAAGATGAGTTGTCCCAGAAAGAAACTGCCACGGTGACCTGCCTTGTAAAAGGGTTCAATCCCAAGGATGCATTTGTCAAGTGGACATACATGGAAGATCCTCTGGACTCACATATGTATATCAACACTGAAGCCATTAAAGAAACCTCATCCACTGGAAAAACAACACACTTCATTTACAGCAAATTAACGTTGCCTGCTAAGGATTGGACCGATGGGAAAAGTTACACCTGTGTAGTTGGCCATGAATCGCTGCCACTACAGCTAATCCAAAAAACTATTGACAAGTACACTGGTAAACCAACCTCAGTGAATGTGTCCCTCGTCATGTCTGATACATGTTGATAATCCTCCCAAGAAGACCTTATATCTCCACCTTTTGTTCTACCCTAAGTGATGGTACTGAAGGAGGAGAAGGAAGAAATTGTGTTTGTCTGTCTGTTCTTGTATATTAACTTCAATGAACCCTGTCTGCATATTGAAAAGTAGAAATAAAAATCACTTTATAAAATGTCTGTTTGCATGTGATATCTGTGTTATTAAGAGCAGAGATCAGATTTTGATAGTGTCAAAATCATTTTGGCAATCTCACTTACGTCTGTTTAAAACTTTTTTATTTAGATAGGTAGATGCTGGTGTCCCTCTTCTAAGTTCTTTAATTATGCTCAAAGTCCCTATGGAAGTTTAGCTTAAACAAATAAACAAAAAGAACTTGAGCCACTTAGTCATTTAATATATTGGAGTTTTGAAGTATGCATTCAGGTTCACCAGATTGGGTGTTTGTTAATGAAGCATTTAACATTCCTGTGACACACAAGTATCTTATATATATGATTGCACAGTTAGAACAACAGATAAATAGTCTTACATTGGTTGGGTTTTGGGTCATTTGCAGATACAGGTCACTAGAGGACCTTTTTATCACTTACATTAGGTAATCAATAATCAAACATTCATGTAATCTTTAACTAGGGGGACATCATTTCTGGCAAATATTAATCCATTTAGCCTTGAGAAAACAATTCAATTCTGCATTTTTATTCAAACTATTCAACCCCAGAATATTCTGCACATTATCATTCAAATTAAAATAAACAGCACAGTAAAATTGATAGGGCCTTTTAAAGTCTATACACACAAGTTATTTATTTCCTTATGAGTAAATGCTGAAGTAGTCAAAAAAAAATCCTCAGTTATCATTTGACCAAGTGTTTCCTCTTTTATTCCATACAATCTGCTGTAAAATTATTTAAGTAGAGAATGCCCTTGGTTCCCAAACCAATCATAGAAGTGATTAAACCTAAATTGACCAAAACAATTGTTTCAATAAGCCGCTTTGAATGTATTAACATCAGTAATGATCAGGCTTTTTCCTCCGTTAACCCTAATTCAATGTTTTGACTGCAGTCACTTCCAGCTCTACCAGACAATAATAAATATCATATATGTTCAAATAGTCTGCTCTGTAAAATGACATCACATATCCATTTAAATACATGATTGCACCTATGATGGGATTTCAGTGTTCCAAAGTAGGGAAATCAGATCACTTTTTTATCACAGTGCAGCTCTTTTATCAAATTACAAATAAACCACACACTGCATTGTTATAGAGGTGCCATTATTCATCATAGAATTATTTGGAAAATGCTATATGTTATAAAAGTACAGCAGAAGAGTACTAGGGAAGAGCAAAGTTTATATTATTATTCAGAATCACACATATCTGCAGTGTGTAGATTAGGTCAACAACAAAAACAACTAAAAAAGTAATTTTAGGAAGTTTCATATACTTGAACAAAAGGTGCTAGAAGTCCCACTCAAAAAAGCTTATATTAAATCAGTCCTTCTGTATATTATTTTCATTTTACAGCCGTAAGGTGGCCACAAATGTCACTGATAAAAAACAGATATAAAATACTAAATAAGTGGTCTTCTGTGTCTGTCTTTATATCAAGATGCAAGTAGGTATTACATGACCCTGGCTATCAAATGATCTCAGTCTATTAAACAAATAAGTTTTCCAAGTTACGCCTACACCTTTTCAACCTGCAAAAGTGGCTAAAAATAAATTTCAATGATTTTACAAACAGTATAGAGTGTTGTAATAGAAGACATATGAGAGGTTCAGACATATTAGAGCAGTTAGTGTTTTTAGAAACAATATCTTAAACGTGCATACACAGGGCAAAACTGTCGGGGCAAAATGCAGTATGAGACATAAAAGGGGGATAAATGTACTTGGAGAAAGTGCACGAAGGAAAATAAAGTACAGTGAGATCATTTTTAATTCAGCTCTAGTTATTCAGTAATATATACCATGCAACACCTGTCTACAGCAGAGCCAATTTAAAATATTGTTCCCTCCAATGTCCACATTAGTAGGAAGCTTGTTGTTTTATGTCTTACAGAAACATTAAAAGCATGCATTTTATATTTGGGTTGGAAACTAGAGCCAAACATAATTCTTATCATTCAGGTGTTATGATCCAAACACAACAAAATATGTCACTATTTCTTCCAAAATCTAGATCAAGATTATTTCTACATCAAAACATCACCGACTAGAAACGTGTTGCCCCTATAAAAATAATAAATAAAAACAAACTCAAAGCCAATGCTTGACAGACTATCAAAAGAATCGATCATTTTCGAAAGTATATCCATGTATACATTGCAATATGTGGATAATAGCATATTTTGGGATTGGATTTGTGTGGCTGTCAGGAATCTGGGATAACTTCTTACTCCAATACTGTATTGAGTCTGGATAAAAAGAGAACATCAATGAATAAATACATATTATATCCTCAATATTACCTAAAGTCTTTTTTAATGGCTGCAAGGTCACTTCTAAAATATGCAGAAAGATGATATAAGGCAATTCCAAATCTGATCTCTTCTATTAGTTAAGCACAAATGTTTGTAGTTGTCTCCTTTGTCATTGTTTGCGTGTATCCCCTCCGCCCACACCATGTGACTATAAGTTCTAGATGCATATGGAAACGTGATATAGTTGACTCTTTTGCTAATTTATGTCTCATGTCCCTACAGTTCGTGCAGTTTATATGGATGAAGAAGAAGATGCTGACAATATCTGGGCTACTGCCTCTACCTTCATAGTGCTCTTCCTTCTGAGTTTGTTTTACAGTGCCACTGTAACTCTTTTCAAGGTATGGTATAGAATCACTTAATCAATACTCAAAGAAAATCAGAGTCTTTATCCAGGCTTAATAATACTATCAACTAGAATTCATGATCTTACCATTCCCCCTTCAAAAAGAATATGGTCAGCAAACTTGGAAAAGTCTGGCACTTGGCATTTTAATTGCAGAGTTTTGAATTCCCCTAGGTTCCACTTTTAAGCCAAATTCCTACTGAAATCAATAGAAATACTCTATAAGTCAAAAGTAATATTTCATTGTTGATGTAAGTCAGAGTTGGTCAAAATGATAACCAGTAAATGATAAGATAAAACTTTTATTTTTTAACAAACCACAGTCTATGTACTGCTATGCATATGTCTATATCCTTTGATTAAATGGATCATAAAGCATGGTGGTTACCCTATATTGAAGTGTAATTCCATGTTAAAATTTGTATATATTCCTGTAATTCATTTCAGTTACTAAAATTTGCACAAGTATTTCCTAAGGTCAAAAATCTACCTTAAATTACCTGCAAAACTGGACTCCACAGCTAATGAATATAAACCCCATCTTTACCAAACACAACTTGTTAGTGCTGGGCATTATCCAGTCAAATGTTTCTCACAGATAAGCAGTGAGGCCAAATCTCCATTCCAGAACTTCTAATAGAGATAGATGATATTCAGGTATTTTTATTAAAAATGTGTTATGGCTTTATTCATTAAAGTGACATGTTTAATTTTTTTGTAGGTTTTTTTCTTAAAATACTAATGCTTTAGGTCTCTGTTAACAAAAGGATAAGGTTAATTGGAGTTATAACAAACGCATGCTGTTTAGAAAGTAATTTTACATTAAATTTAGAGTTTGGTACCTGTTTCTAAGAGTACATAAGCTAAAGTGTTTACATACAACTCTTGCAAAATTGCAAAATTAACTAGACTAACTTTCTGCAAATGTTTTGTTAAAATACGTTTTAAGATCTTAGCAGGGCAGTAGCAGTGTATTTATAAAGCCAAGTTGTTGGAATGCTAATTAATGACAGATTTTAATATCAAACAACCTAAATAAATGAATATTCACCTAGTGGTTAAGTAATTTAAAAAGTGGGCCTGTACTATTTTACACAATGATAACATTTTACAGCACATGACTTTTCATGTGTTAATGAATATATCTTGTGTTTTATTTTCTTAGAAATTAAGTTTATTTAAGTATTTCTCAGTGGTAGTATGAGTTTAACCCCTTAAGGACCAAACTTCTGGAGTAAAAGGGAATCATGACATGTCACACATGTCATGTGTCCTTAAGGGGTTAAACATAAAGTTACACTTTTTATAAACAAATATCTTCCACAATTTGCTAAAAAAGTTTAAAATGTTTCACAACCGATACACTTAGTACATTTTTACATAACACTTAAAAACCTTTGTGAGGATATCAAATAATGACATAAAGTGGAAAAGTTTGCCCCAGGCACATTAACTCTTACCAATTCCAGGGCACATATTGATATAAATACAGACAGCAGTGTCACAATTCAAATTTTCAAATTCCCATGGAAAATGTCTTTACGATAATGTACTATTTTCTTTTTAGCTTTTATGCCAGTGCAAGGGTAATCTAATCGAAACTAATTTCCATGGACAGATGCATCATCTTGTTGTTTTAATAGACGTTCATTAAAACATTATTGCATGGTGTGACTGACACCATGCAGTGTAGGGTACCTAAATCTCAGTGCAGCATGTATGTGAAATATATTCAATTCCTACCATTCTTGCTAGTTTAGGATTTATGGAACTGTGACCCCCTTTAACAATAACCCTCATTTTAAAGAATCAAAAGATACCTTATGCTAAAGCATGTGTTATGGTGAAATAATACTACATCTTTTATGATGCTTTGTCATTTTAAAGGCATGCAAAGCATCATGGGAGTTGTATTTCTACAACATCTGAGGATCTACCTTTTGGGCACCCCTACTATAGACACTCATTAACCACTGCCATCTTTCTTCCATGATACATGAGTATGCTTATCCTGCCAACTCTATTAAGCATTCATTATGCGCATTGCTTGTATATAGAATTGTACTTATTCATATTTGTTTATTATCCTTTTTTTCAGGTAAAATGATTCTGATTGGACAGATACATTTGTTGCACAAGGAAAAGCACTGTAATCCAAGTGCATATTTCCAGTAGCCAATGCCTAATGCCTTCTGCTTTGTAAATATCTCATGCTGTTATTACTCTGTAATATATGTTAATAGCCTAGAGCTTTTGTGGTCTTGTTAATATATATCTGTATTGAATATTAAAGTGTGAAAATAAAGTTATGTTATGTTAACATGAACGTTGTGGATTTCTTTTTTCCATTAAACAATAATAATGATAATCTTACATTATGGATTTTTTATATATATGAAACTTGCTAAAAGAGATACACTGCACCAGTTGAGAAGCCTGTATTATTGTGTTCTTGTTACAACAGAAATGTTGAATTCTGTCATTAACAAAAATGGTTGATATTTGTTACCTGGGAGGCCTGAGAAAAAATGTGTACCTTTTAAATCCTGTTGTGTATGTTGTATTGGTTAATTACATTATCATGACATATTTATTAATACTTTGTGTGTAATCATCAGTTTCGTGTTATTTTGTGGGAAAAGGGTAAAAATAAATTGTATTGTTAACAGCATTTAGTAACATTGCAAATGACTCCATTAAAATTCTAAGAGCAATTATGACTGATAAATGGTAAAAATATATTTTGGAGAAATCGGTTTAACATTTTTTACATAGAAATTCACAATTTAAAATAAAATCAATTGTCCAGCCACTTTCTTGAATTTGTTTTCATTGTTTTCATTGTGCAATTCACAGAAACACAATGATGCAGTCTAAGCACCATAAGCACTACAACTTAAGTGGTGGCTATGGTGCTTTTAGGCTGAGGGCATGTCCCGATCCTGGGTCAAACAGTTTTCCAGTGATTTGATCAAAACTGACATTCCTGAGATATTAGACACTGCTCACATATTTCTAATGCAGAAGTTCCACAATATTAATTGTATTCATTTGGATTGTATTCATTGACTTAGTAAGGCATCGAAAAATTGCTTGACCTGGAGTCAGTGCATATGGACTAATAGTCACTAAATTAGCTTGTAAAATAGGCAGCATATGTTGGCAGAAATTCACAGCAAAATTAAAAAGTAAGAAATTCTCCAAGACATTGATCTTTAGTTTTGCTTTTTAAGCCATAAAGTAGAATTTACTAAGAATTTACTAAGAACCCCAGACAATTCACATGTGTAAATACCCAAGTCTGAGTGTGTGAACATAAATACCAACACATAGAGTATGATTCATTATTCACAGTATTTGTTTAAATGTATACACAATAATTTTGGCCATGCTGTGATAAGAATAGTGAAATATTCGTTTTAATATTTTTTACTTTTGTCATTCATTTGTAGGTGATAGCATAATTTACCTGTTGAAGTATTAAACAAATAAAACAGTATTCTAAGAAGAGATATACCTTTAAAAGTAATTTCTAGTTTTCTTTAGTAAATAAAGTGTAATCATTTGGCTTAATATATGTCTTTTATACATGGTAGTACTGTAATCCCAATGATTACATAACAAACCTGAGCAAATATGTAACTGCCACGTGACAACATCATTATGTGTAAATCCTTTTCTTTTACATCCAGGAAACTCTTGCCTAAAAAACATGGAAAATAGACAATTACGTTCTGTTTTTGTTAATAAACTGATTTTTATTTTTATTTTCTTTCAGAGGAATCTAAAGGCTCTCTCTTTCCCCTACTTCCATGTTGCATTCAGGAAAAACCATTGGAAGTAATCACTATCGGCTGCATTCTTAAAGATACCAGTCCGGCAGGAAATCAAATCAAAATAAGTGACGCTAGTGGAAAGGAAATTAAAGCAATAAGGTATAGGACTAAGCTTGACAAGAGTTACATTGAAAGCAGTCATCATACCATTTCAGCTGAATCATGGAACAGTAACAGTTTTACTTGCTCTGCGAATGACAAAAAGACGGAGTTAAAAAATGGTAAGTTTAATTGGCAAAACATTAAAAACAACCTACTGGGTGACTGAGAAATTTGGAAAACTAACAATGTTAGATTATAGTTTGATTGTTCCTAATTTTTTACTCACCCTGGAGAAGTTGAGTAGTTACGTATACAATTATTATTTTTATATCAGTGTTAGATCGTGAATTTTCGCTTATGCTTTTATACTTTATCCAATTATACTGTTATAGTCCTAGATTTTGAATTTTTAAAAAAAAATGCACAATAAAGACAATTGGATTATTATTAATATTATTATCATTTATATAGTGCCAACAGATTCCATAGCGGGGGGGAGGATTTAACTATAAATAGGAGAATTACAAAAAACTTACATGACCTATAGGTTGAAGAGGACCCTGTTCAAACAAGCTTACAGTAGTGTTCAATGTGAATAGGTGAAACCAAGATCAATATGGTTTTTAAAACTGCCCAGTTTTACACTTTAATTATAGGGTTGTGAAATGGCTAACTGGGTAAGCTCTAAGAGATCAACATAAATACAACTTACAGTTACGTGGTGAAATCTAAAAATAAGCAAAGTAGACATACACTATTTATGTTTTGGTTTGATTCTGTTTGATTCTAGAATGCAAAAATGCAAAGCTGATGAAACCCTACATTCATATTTTATTACCATCTTGTGATGATAAAAATGAAGTGCAGTTAGTTTGCCTCGTGTCAAACTTTCGGCCAGCTGAAGTTTTTGTAACTTGGCTAAGAAATGGACAATCTACAGGTAAGACAGTGAGTGGAATCAACCCTATGAAGAATAATGATGGAACTTTCTCTGGGAGAAGCGAGTTAAATGTTACTCGAGGACACTGGGATAAGCTGGATGAATACACATGTCAAGTTACACACCAAGGTCAGCTCTACATGAAGAATATAAGCAAATGTTCAGGTAAGGGGGTGCATGGCTGTGTGAAAACCATATTTCCCTATAGAAAATAAAGCTATATTGTGTTACTTCTGCAAAAACATTCAAGAACTACTGTTCTTGAGAATCAAGCCCCAATACTGCTGCAAGTAAATCAGTGCTCCATCAGCTGATAATCTGCCCTAAGCCAAGGTAGACTTCTGGAGGACCTTACTGAGACTCTATCCTGCACATCATCATTTAATTAAAATGTAAACACCCTGTACTTTACTTATATTTTTTTTTCTCTGCAACGTGTATTAGACTTACTTTGTATATCCTGGGTGCATTGCATATTTTATTACCTTTATGTCTTGTTTGTTATGCTGAAGTGTAGTTTTGCTAGCCCTATATTTAATTGTTTTATTCACCTACATGCATACCTCTATTTCCCCTCTGAACCCTCCCTTCATTTATTGATATCAACCCACATGTTTGTTTTTACTTGAACAAGCGTCACCTCATCTCTGTGCTTAGATGCATACCCCAATCCTTCAGCTTTATTGCAGACCTATCTGACCCTCATATATCTTTTTCCACAGCCGGATTTAAAATGTTTCCAGCCCCAATACTGCTGCAAGTCGTTATTGCATTTATAGATAGTCTGTCACACTCAAATTTTGATAAGCAGAAATGGCAGGAGTATAAACGTCCTCTTATCCGTACACTTCTGCACTTTCTTAACCCCTAAAACTTAATCTTCACCCTTCCTACTCCAGTTTTTAATATTCCAATTCTTTCCATATTACCTTTTCCAAGTTTATCAATGCTCTGCTTTCTCCTCCTCTTCATTTCCCTCTTCACCCGCAGTATAAAAATCTCTCCTTACACCCACTTCTCTCATCCTCCCAACAGCCTCCATATTAGTCCCTCTATGCTACACTCGCCCCTTCTCTCATCTCAATCCCTGCACACATTTTCCTGCTCTCTCTCCTGCCCCCAATTGAACTTATGCTAGACCCCATGCATAGAAAACCCACTCACAACCTCCTGTCACTTTCTCTCCTCTTACTTCTAGCAGCTGGTGATGTCTCTCCCAACCTAGGGCCCTTCACCTCCTCTACACACACTAAGACAACTAGAAACCACATAAACCTTTGGTCTTACATAATTGTCTAAGTCAGCAATCCATAAGGCGGGAAATACTCTTCATCTTACCTTCACGAATCTCTGTACCACCTCTAATCTATCCAGTGTTTTTTTCCCCTATCTGAACACCATTTGCTGAATTTTGACATCTGCATACCCAGTACCCAAATTACACCATCCTCGGCACATCAATCTCACAGAAACCTCCACTGCCTTAACTTAAAGAAATTCTTCACCTCTCCTTTTACCTATCTCAAACCTCACCTGCCTTAGCTTCTACAATTTCCCCCACTCTTCTCAACTAGACATAATGGCATCTCCTACACTTATATTGAGCAAGTGCCCCCAACTACAACCTTGGGACACCAAGCTGACCGATACCTCCAAAAATGTTTCAGAACTGCTGAACACTGCTGGAGAAAATCTCACTTTACATCTGACTTTCTCCACTATAAATTTATGCTGAGCCCTTACGGCTTGTCTCTTTCCCCTGCAAAAGTAAATTACTTCAATACCCTCATAACCACACCTCTCTTCACCCTTTGGCTCCTCCTCCTCATACCAACTTGACTGCCACAAACTTTGCAACTTACTTAACTGAGAAAATCTCTACAATCAGGGAAGAGATTTCTCACCTCTCTCCTTCCTCTAAAAATACTTCCTGTAACCCCACTCCCTCTGCTGTTCTATGTTCATTCATACCTGCTAAAGTTGAGGTTTCTGGTCTGCTCCGGTCCTCCCGCCCCACTACCTGCTCCCTTGATCCTATTCCTTCGCATCTCATCCATACTCTGTCTCCCTCTCTTTCTCTGCTTCTTACTAAAATTCTCAATCTCTCCCTCTCCTCTGGCGTATTTCCATCACCCTTTAAACATACAACTGTAACCCCGATTCTAAAAAAAGCCCAACCTTGATCTTAACTCCTTTCCAACTAATGTCCTATCTCGTTACTGCCTTTTTCGTCCACAATCCTGGAAAGAGTTGTGTATGTAAGATTGACAGACTTCCTTGAATCCAACT